TCTCAACATTTACCCTGTCAAGCGCTCTCGGAATCTTGTATGTTTCAATAAGATCATCCCTCATTCTTCTAAATCTTAATGAATAAAGGCCTAACCTGTTTAAGTGTTCATGATAAGTCAACCCCTTCATACCAGGAATCAGTTCAGTGAATCCCTTTTGAACTGCCTCCAAATGCTAATACATCCGTTTTAAAATATTGGGACCAAAACTGTACACAGTATTCCAGCTGCGGCCTCACCAATATGCTACTGTTGTAGCAAGACTTCCCTATATTTAAACAACAACCTCCTCACAATAAAAGCCAAAATTTCATTTGCCTTCTTAATTATTTGCTGCACCTGCATGCTAATGTCATGTGTTTTATAACACTCATATCCTTCAGTGCTGTGTCTTTTTTTTGGAGCCTCTCTTCATTTAAGTAATAGCCTGTCTTTTGATTTTTCTTACCAAAGTGCAAAACTCACACTGTCCTACATTAAACTCAACTTGCCAAGTTTTTGCCTGCCCACTCAAACTATCTATATGCCATTGTATTTTACATTTGTCCCCATCACAGCATGTGCTCCCACCTATTTTCATACCATCATAAATTTGGAAACACTACATTCTGGCCCCCCCCTCTAAATCATTAATATAGATAGTAAATAATTGAGATCCTCTCGACAATACTACTAGTTAAAACTTTCCAAATTGAAAAAGATCCATGAATCCCAACTTTCTGTCCTCTGAATATTAAACAGTCATCATCCATGCTAATCCACCTGAATATCATGAGAACCTATCTTAAGCAATAACCTTTTATATGGCACCTTATTGAATGCCTGCTGGAAATCCAAATATATTACATTTCCCGGTATCCCAGTGTCAACTCTGATTTTTTTTATATCCTCAAAGAACGCTAACAAATTTGGCAAACATGACTTCTCTTTTACATTGCAAAATAATATATTAAAATATCTACCATTTCTCTGGCCTCCGTCACTAATTCCCTAGTTGCATTCTCCAAAGGCCCCACACTCTCTCTACCTACTATTTCTTTTTGTATACCTGTAGAAGCCTTGCTGTTTGGCAAAAAAATCAAAACTATTTACTTTTATAATCAGTTTCCGTCGTCTTTAGTAGCTTTATAGTCATACACTGCTGGTCCTGAAATAAATTCCAATCCTTTGGTTTACCATTAATTTGCGCTGCTCAATAGGCTTTAGTTTTTGATTAGATACACTCCTTGCCTACCTTTGTTAACCATGGGTGATTCATCCCTCTCATCAAGTCATTTTGACAGAAATCATTTTTTGCTGTGCATTATGAAATATCTGCTTAAATATCTGCCACTGCTCTTCTACGGACATTCCCCTTAATCTATTTTGCCAACCTTTCTCTTTATACCTCTAAAATTACTCTTATTTAAGTTGAGGACCCTTATTTAAGTTTGACACCTGAGTTTCTTTGCCTTAAATTGTATTTAAAATGTTGCCATGTTGTGATCACTATCCTCCCCAGAATCCTTAACTATGAGATTATTCCTACCTCATTATACATGATAGATCTAAAGTAACCAGTTCCTAGGTAGGTTCAGCAATGTACTGCTCTAAGAAGCAATCACTAATGCACTCCACAAATTATCATCCAAGTTACCCTTACCCATCTGATTTGTACAGTCAATTAAATTTAAAGATTAAAATCATTCTGTGCTGTACAACTCTATGAATCTATCACACTCATGACAATTGTAGTGCCTTCTTACCAACCTCTGTTTTTCCTGATTTATGCTTTATCCTAATGTGAGGCAATCTTATGGGGCATATGGATGCCTCTCACCAATGACTTCTTCACCTTGCTATTCCTTATTTCCACTCAAATTGACTCCATGTCACAATCTATTTCATATATATCAGTACTCAGTCCCATCCTGATACCTTGCTTTATTAACAAAACAACTCTAGCTCCTTTTCCCTTCTGCCTATCCTTCCAGAACACTAAAAAACCTTTCAATATTTATACCCAGTCTTTGCCATCCTGCAATCACATTTCTGTCGTAACCAACAAATCATATTCATTAATTTCTATTTGTGCTATCTATTTTAGTACGAATGTTGTGTGCATTCAGATATAGAGCCTTAAGTTTGATTTCTTATCATTATTACTTATTCAGGGAGGTCATGGCCTAATGGTATTTCCACTAGAGTACTGATCCAGAGTCTCAGGCTAATGTCCATGGCAGATGTTGATACTTGAGTTCAATAAAAGTCTGGAATTAAGAGTCGAATCATGACCTTGAAACTATTGTAAGGAAAAACATGACTGCTTTACTAATGTTCTTTAGGGAAGGAAATTGCCTTCTTTACCCGATCGGGTCTACATGTGACTCCAGACACACAGCAATTTGGTTCACTCTTAACTGATCTCTGGGCAATTAGGGATGGGAAAAAAATGTTGGCATGACCAGCAACACCCGCAGCCTGTGAATGAATAAATAAAAACTGTTTCTAATTTCTCCTGTACACTTCTCCATATCGTTTCAACACCTTCCTATCAACTTTGGTGATCTATGATTTTGTTGTCATAGTCTTACCAGACCTTAGGACTGCTCTCTCATTAGAGAAAGAAAGATGATTGGTGGTGATTTAACCAGAGGATCACAATACCTCAGGTGAGGGGAGAGGTTGAAAAGAAGAATCCTTCGTGGTAACTTCAACCAGTGTAGGAATTGAACCCATACGGTTGGCATCACATTGCTTTGCAAACCAACTGAGTTAAACTGACCCCTGCTTTACACTCACCTCTTCACTAGCATGCACTTCTACCCTCTCATTTGTTTTTGATCTTTTAAAATTCCCTTCAATCAAAAACTCCCACCACCAATTGATTGAAAGCATTATCTATAACCCAACTCATATGAATTGTGAGGATTATGGTGCCAACATGGTTCAAATGAAGCCCATCCCAACAGAACAGCTCTTTCTTAGCCCAATACTGGTGCCAGTATCCGATGAGTCAGGTCCCATGTTTCCCTCACAAATCTTTGAGTCATGCACTTACCTCTCTAATAATGGATGGCTGGTTTGTGATTGTCGTGGCAACCTTCAAACTGAGCTCCTATGCTGTAGTAGATAGGCTCACGTTCACGTCCCACCTCTTCCAAAGGTGTGTAATAACATCTTTGAACAGGTTGAATAGACATATTGCTTCAACAAAATTGCAATTGCTGAAAGCTCTTGTGGTGTAGTGTTAGGGTTGCTACCCCTAGCTGGGAAGGGCCACTTTCAAGTCCCACCTGCTCCAGAGGGTTGTCCTAAAAACTCCAAACACATTGATTAGAAATGAGGTTTAATAAAAAAAAAAAATGAGACCTTCATCCAGAACAGTAAGGGCTAATTGCTCATGGCAATGAGTTTTTCATGTGCATTTCCACTTTCCTTCAATGGCAATGAGCAATGAAACTGAATAGTCTATCAGAACTGTCCTGTTTTGCAGTTACATAGGGCCACCTGGATATGTGTTTCAGCCTGTTTTGAAGGTTGCAAAAGTGCTGCAGTCATTATGAAATGGAGATTCAGCATGTAACCTTAGATTCAGAATAGCATTAATATCAGAGGCTTTGTCCCACTCATTGGATTGTTCATCATCGGACTGGGATTCACAAGCCCGGCGCCATGGAATCTACAATAGAGCTCCAAGTACCACTGTCACCAGAGTCCCTGATGGATAGAAGGCAGTGTGAGACTCGCCTGTTAGAATATATATGTGTATGTTATGCAGTTTCAGCTAATTCATCCACGCATTATCTTGCATATGGCTTCAGTACATATTAAGTAGATTAAGTGAATACGTTTGCTTCATATTAAAGTGGACACGTCTTCTTGAATTAATTTTGATCAGACATTAAAGTATCCATTCAGTACTGTCAGCCTAACAATAGTGACGCAAGTGTGGCTTCAATGAAGGACTTTCCACAATTTCTCCTCTTGCCTGAGGCATGGTGACCCTCAGATTAAACATTATCAGTTATTTCTCTTGAATGAGGGAGCAGCCCCATAGTCTGATAAGCCTATGATGACTTTATCTTATCTCTCTAATCTTATTTACCCAATGCCAATTTGTACGTGGCTCAGGTATTAATCTGTAAATTATTACACTTATGGTTCTGCTTTTGAACATAGTACCGAGCTCCTGATAATCCCTCAGCAGAATCTCTTTCCTAGTCCTACCACGTCATTAGAACCAAAAGGAACCATGACAACTGGATGCTTCCTTTCCCATTCCAAGATCCACTCCAATCAGAGTGATGTCCTCAACCTTGTCTCCAGGAGGGCAACAAAGCTTCAGGATTCTGTCTTTGCTGCAGAGAACAGCATCAGTTCCCCTCAGCATGCCACCCCCTCTTACATTTTTCTTCTCCCACCTGCCCCCATGTGAGTGGTGCTTTGAGCCACAGTGCTGTGGTCACATCACTTACCTTCCCTTTGACCTGTGCCTTCATCCACATCGGGAGCAAGAACGTTGTGTCTGTTGACAGGCTGAGGCACCACCAAACCTACATTTTGGATCCCAATGCCTGCCTCATTCACACTTACATGCCTGAACATGGACCAAATTTACTTTATCTAAGGGGAGCGACAGCCTGCTGAAATATAATGGCCGGATATCTCTCCTCCTCCACATTGTGTCACAACATCCTCAGTTCAGAATCCTGCTCATCAACTGTGAGCCAAAGATCACCAAGCAGCCAACACTTGCTGATGATGTGGCCCCTGTTTGTCACACTGGCACCCGCCAGCTCCCACATATGCCAATCTGCTGGTGTCACTGTGTTTTTTTTACACTGTTGTATCATGAAACTAATCATTAAGCCATTACCATAACCAATGTCACATTACTTGATGAAAACCATTTGTAAAAGTTATGATATTTCACCAGGAACACATTTGAACTTGGATTAAAAGTGTTTATTGCTCAAGCGAAATAATTCAAACCCCTTTCTGACCAAAAAACATATCTCTTACTGAGATTTTAGTTTTCTTTTCGAGACAATGTTCCAAAATTTCTTCATCGATACAACTGTCAGGATTGTAAATGTTAGTAGCACAACCAACAGGAAGGTCATCACATCTACACAATAGTAAACGTACCAGGGGAGTCGGTAAGACTCTGACCGCAAATGTGCTGCCCCTTTGTGTCGAGCAACATACTCAATTCAGAAAATAGCTTTCTCCATCGGAGTCTCAGGTTGGCCTCTGTGGAGAGCAGAGAGTTTCTGCATATTCTCCCGATAAGAGGTGTTATGTATAACCTCATTCAGTGCCTGCAATAGATCCGTTGACTGCATGGTTGCACGTTAATCACTTTTGCTGCACCTCGGATTTCAAGTCTGAGTAAATTATCAAACTGATCAAAAATCAAAGGTATGCCAACTACTGGCACCCCATGATAGATGGCTTCATAAACTCCATTGGTGCCACTGTGAGCAACAAAGACTCGTGTCTTTGGGTGCCTTAGCAGGTCATTCTGAGGAATCCATTTTGGCAGCAGTGTATTATTTCCAATGTTGGGAGGGATATTTACATCATGTCTCCAGATAACTTTCTGAGGTACTTGAGCAAAGGCCTCTGCTATTTGCATTGTAATATGCATTGGCAAAGAGCCAACAATGGTCCCCATTGACATGACAATAACCCCATGTTCCCCTGAGGACTGAACAAACTCTTCAAACTCTGCCTTCAGAGGTTTGGATGGATTGCACTGAAATCCTCCAATATAAACAATATTAGGCATGGTGGGTCTCGGGAATTCAAATATAAAATCTACTCTCACCAGCCACACATCTGCCCTTAGAAGAACTGTCTCAATATCTGTGTCTGGGCCTACATTGTGATGGCAGAGATCATTGTACATAGGCAGAAATACAATATTTGTGATGAATGTTTGAAACAGTTTTTGAAACACATTTTATGTTCTTTGAAGAAAACTCATTTTATCTGACAATCTTACGCCAGGGATTGGTACATAAGACAACGGTGATGGGGCAGTTAGAAAATGAGCTTCTCCAGTGGTGAGCCATCGAACATTATACACCATTGAACCTGTAGGAAAAGCAGGATCAGTTAGTACTAAGTCAAAGTGCGTAATTTCAAGTTGTTTTAACAAATGTTTGTTTTCAAAAATTGCAACAATAAACTCTTGCAGCCATGTATGAGATGTCTGCAGAAAAGACAACATTTCACAAAAAAACACGAGTCATAACCATTCCGCTTCTAGTGTGTTTTTTATTATATTCTGGATAGCTTCTGCACTGGTATTTTCCCCAGCATTTCCTTTCATTTCTACCACAATGGATTGATATAGATCAGGCTTCTCTTTAATGTACAAAGATTCTGGGAAATAAAGCACAGTGACGTTGTGCCCACATAATGTCAGTTCTTCGATTAGAACCCTCATATTGACCCAGTGACTTCCATCAATCGGAACAACCAGTATATTAGCTCAGATAACAAGGTGTAGAGCTGGATGAACACAGCAAGCCAAGCAGCATCAGAGGAACAGGCCCAGCAGGAGCTGGCGAATTACCCACACTTTGTGAAAAATCAAATTGTCATGTCACAGTAAAAAAGATAAAAATTTCTTAGTGAGTATTTTCCTTCTTTAGGTTCTGAACCTTGTTAGTTTTTAACAACTGTAAGTGCTATTGGTAATTGTAAGTTTTAATTGCAGTAGTAAAGCTTATTTGGATTTATGATTTGTGTATGCAAAAATTTAGTGGATGGAGTCTAATGTGGGGGAATTGTGAACTATTGCACTTTGGCAGGAAGACTAGCAAAGCAGTGTACTGTTAAAGTAGAAAAGGATTGCAAAATATGAAGTTCTGAGGTTTCTGGTGCATGAATCACAAAAGGTTACCATGTCAGAACAGCAAGTCATTAGGAAAGTGAGTGCATTTTTGTAGTTTATTGAAAGGACTAAGAAATATAAAAGTATGTGTGGAATATTGAATTCATGCAAACTTTGATAATAAACTATGTCTCACATCAGTAAAAGAGAATACACAAGTCTAGAATACGCATGTGTGTGAGATGTCTTGGAGAACACCAGACAGCTGTATTTCAGAACTTGCTACCTACAGATTAAACAAATGAGTGTGGCAATACATTACAATTTGATGGTCCTTACTTACAGATATGGAGCAAGCTGGCTCAGGGTTAATGTATGTGTAGACACCCATAATCCAGAGAGAATCTAGACTGATATGTCAATGTTTAGGCAGCAGGAACTGGTGAAGAAGTCTCCATAGACTGAAATTAATGTTAAAATAAGATGGAAGGGACTCAGCTGAATAAAGAAGTCTCCAGATGCAAGGTAACACTTTAGAAAAAATTGAAGGTGCGTCTCAGTAAATACGAAAAGGTCTGGGAAGCCAGACAGCACCTCGGAAGATTTCAAGACATAAAAAGAGGACACTGATTTAGGACTCTATTCTGCCATTGGATTTGCAGGAGTATTTCTTTAGGGATTTAAGATGTCCACTGCATATTGTCCAGGACTCCAATGCACACATAAAAGGTAACTATGCAGCCCTCTAGACCATAAGCTGAGTGCTGGGTTCAAAGTCTTTGTTTTCAAATACTTTGTTCTTCAGATAGCAAAAGGCTGCTCTTGAACACGGGAGACTGTAGTGTTTGTGACAAGGTCAACCAGCTGGATCTTATAGTTTTTCAGTTCCCTCATTAGAGCTGTTAATCTGGTCCAATCAGGGAACCCTGGCTGACAGATAAAAAGGGGAATATCGGAAATGCAGGCATCCTGAGAGCTGACTCTGAAGAGGCAGTACTAAAGTCTGTTTGATGGGATACTAGCCTCTGTGAAGTTACTTCAGTCGTGATGAAAGTAAAGCATGATCCTGAAGAAACTCACTTGCAAAAGTTGTCTTTGAGTTGGGGGAAGCAATTCTTACCTTATGTCTTTGCTTGGGAAGCTTGACTCATTCACCTCTGCCTTGGAGAACTGGGCCTGGTATGAGGAAAGAATGTGGTAATTTTTCTGGGCAATTGACATTGTGGTAAATGAAAAGCAATGAGTAATTCTCCTGACAGCATGTGGAGCTGCAGCTTTTTCTGTCTCCCTGAGGCACCATGTACAAAAACCTTTCCAGAATTGACAGGCATAGTTAAGGAATATTACAGCCTCCAGTCTCCTCCAGTTCTGAGATGCTACAGCTTTTACTTGGAAGTTTGAGAACCCAGGAAATCCTTATCAGGATTTTTGACTGGGTTAAGACAACTGGCAGAATTTGGTTTCACCCTTAATGAGATGCCTAAGGGCCATATGATGTGTGGGATTAATGATGTAACTGCGCAAAACTGCACAGAACTGTCGACGTAACATCAGTTGCCTCAATTTCACTGCCCCTCTCAACAAATCCAACCTATCTCCCTCCAAACTGACTGCACTCCGTGCACTCAGATCTAACCCTAACTTTGTCATCAAGCCTGCTGATAAGGGTGGGGCTGTTGTTGTCTGGCGTACTGACCTCTACCTTGCAGAGGCTGAGCGCCAGCTCTCAGATACCTCCTCCTACTTTCCCCTGGACCATGACCCCACCATGGCACATCAGGCCATTGTATCCACTACAGTTACAGATCTCATTTCATCCGGTGATCTGCCCCCCTCCGCTTCCAAGCTAATAGTCCCCCAACCCTGCACAGCTCATTTCTACCTCCTGCCAAAAATCCACAAACAGGACTGTCCAGGTAGATCCATTGTTTCAGCCTGCTCATGCCCCACAGAACTCATCTCTTCCTACCTTGACTCAGTCTTCTCCCCCCTGTCCAATCCCTACCCACATACATTCATGATTCATCTGACGTCTTACGCCGGTTTCAAAGCTTCCAGTTTACCGGCTCCAGCCATCTCCTCTTTACCATGGATGTGCAATCCCTTTACACATCCATTCCCCACCAGGAGGGTCTTAGGCCTCTCCGCTTCTTCCTGGACCAAAGACCTGAACCACCACCACCCTACTCCGCTTGGCCGAGCTTGTCCTCACCCTCAACAACTTCTCTTTCAACTCCTCTCATTTTCTTCAGGTAAGAGGGGTTGCCATGGGTACCCGCATGGGCCCTAGTTATGCCTGTCTCTTCGTGGGGTACGTGGAACATTCCTTGTTCCAGTCCTATTCCAGCCCCCACCCACAACTTTTTCTCCGGTACATCGATGATATCATCGGTGCTGCTTCCCTCTCTCGTCGAGAATTGGAAAACTTCATCAATTTCGCCTCCAATTTCCACCCTGCCCTCACTTTCATCTGGTCTATCTCTGATTCCTCCCTTCCCTTCCTCGACATTTCTGTTTCCATTTCTGGGGATAGACTGGCCACTAATATCCACTACAAACCCACCGACTCCCACAGCTACCTGGATTATACATCCTCGCACCCCACTTCCTGTAAAGACTCCATTCCATTCTCTCAGTTCCTCTGTCTCCGTTGCATATGTTCAGATGAGGCCAACTTCGACAAGGGAGTCTCCGAAATGTCCACATTCTTCCTCAACCGAGGATTCCCCAGCTCCGTTGTCGACAGGGCCCTCAATCGGGTCCGACCCATCTCCTGCACTTCTGCCCACACCCCTTTCTCTTCCCTTCCACAACAGCGATAGGGTTACCCTTATCCTCACCTACCATCCCACCAGCATTCGCATTCAGAAGATCATCAGATGCCATTTCCGCCACCTCCACCGAGATGCCACCACCAGACACATATTCCCCTCCCCTCCCTTGTCCACCTTCCGCAGGGACCATTCCCTCCGGGACACCCTGGTCCATACTTCCTTCACCCCCAACACCTCCCTACAGCCCTATGGCACCTTCCCCTGTAACCGGTGAAGGTGCAACCCCTGCTCATTTACCTCCTCCCTCCCCAGTATCCAAGGGCCCAAACATACCTTCCGGGTGAAGCAATACTTCACCTGCACTTCCAAGAATCTAGTCTACTGCATTCGCTGCTCACAATGTGGTCTCCTCTACACTGGGGAAACGAAGCGTAGATTTGGTGACCGCTTCGCAGAACATCTACATTCTGCTCGCAAAAAATACCCTGAACTACCTGTTGTCTGCCACTTCAATGCACCACCCTGCTCGCTGGCCAACATCTCTGTCTCCGGCTTGCTACAGTGTTCCAGTGAAGCCCAGCGCAGGCTGGAGGAACAACACCTCATTTTCCGCTTGGGGACCCTACAGTCCTCTGGACTCAATATTGAGTTCAATAATTTTAGGGCCTAAACTCTCCCATGTCCCAGCCCCCCACCCCACACACCAGGCCTTGTTACCACACAGCCTGCCACTACACACCCCCAGTTGTTAGTCACTAACAACTACTCACCCTCCCAGCCTGATCGTTAGTAACTCCTTTGTCTGTCCAACTGTCTTTCTCTCTCTTTGGGCTCTATCCTATCGTTTACTCCCTACCCCACCCACCTCCCTATTTTCTGCATATAAACTGACATTTTCCTAGCCACCATCGGTTCTGAGGAAGTGTCACCGGACCCGAAACGTTAACTCTGTTTTCTCTTCCACAGATGCTGCCAGACCTGCTGAGCTTTTCCAGCAACTTTGTTTTTATTCCTGATTTACAGCATCCGCAGTTTTTTTGGTTCTTATTTTCCAGCACTTGGTCCATAGCCTCGGCAAGTGTTCTCTAAATACTTCTCAAAGTGTTATGAGGGCTTGTGATCTACCACCTTTATAGGTAGAGAGTTCCAGATTCCTACCACCTTCTGGGTAACTTTTTTCCCCTCATATCCCCTCTAAACCTCCTGCTCTTTACCTTAAATTATGCCCCTGCGCCCACCCATTATTGATCCCTCCATCTAGGGGAAAATCTCCTTCCTGTCTACATTATTTGT